CAGCCTCTTTAATGACCCAGCCACTGCTAGTCACTGAGGCTGGAAATGACTGTAGCATTCAACTACTCCTCTTACTGGGCTACCTTTCTATGTATCTGTCTATCCCTAAGCTCTTGAAAAGCCACTCCTTTCCTTGCCCAGGGCCTAGTACAGCACAGACACACAGTATATTCACAATATATGTTTTTGAGGATGAACTCAATGAAAAAGAAAGTATCTTGTGAAGGGATAATCTGGAGACTACTGAGACATTAGCTGATTGTCCCTAAACTGTCCCACACTAGTCAGCATTTCCTTAGACATTGTTATATGTTATTTCTCAAGTGCTTCAGCCCCTTTCTACTACTAATGTCTATAAGACATTGAATTTTTATAATTACCAACTGCAAAGGGCTTTGAGCCAGTATACCTATAATGGAACAAGCTTTAGCACAATGTAGACAGGATGCTGGGAAACAAACAAAATGCTTTAAGCACACTGAATAAATTGTGTCCCTACTGATTTACGGATTCAACAAAAAATTTTTTGAGAATTAGGCAAACCAAAATACTAGTGACATAGCAATGAGCAAAATAAATGTGGGCACAAGAAAAATCTTTGTTTTCATGGAACTCACATTCCAATTTTTAAAAAATATATTTTATTGATTTTTTACAGAGAGAAAGGGAGAGGGATAGAGAGTTAGAAACATCGATGAGAGAGAAACATCGATCCGCTGCCTCCTGCACACCCCGTACTGGGGATGTGCCCGTAACCAAGGTACATGCCCTTGACTGGAATCGAACCTGGGACCCTTCAGTCCACAGGCCGATGCTCTATCCACTGAGCCAAACCCATTATGGCTCACATTTCAATTATATTTGAGAAATAAAAGTAAGAGAAAGGCCGAAACTGGTTTGGCTCAGTGGTAGAGCGTTGGCCTGTGGACTGAAAGGTCCCGGGTTCGATTCTGGTCTGGGGTATGTACATTGGTTGTGGGCACATCCCCGATAGGGGATGTGCAAGAGGCGGCTGGTCGATGTTTCTCTCTCATCGACGTTTCTGGCTCTCTCTCTCTCCCCCTTCCTCTTTGTAAAAAATCAATAAAATATATTTAAAAAAAAAAAAAAGTAAGAGAAAGAACAGATAATATGAAAAGTAGAGATGACTATTCAGACAAAAGATAAAGCATGATAAAAGGACAGAGAGTGAAAGGGGTGCTATTTTGGGGAAGGCAGAGCAGTACTTTCTAAGAAGCAGACCTTTGAGTGAAAGAAGCTTGAAAGGCATATGGTCAGGACATAAGCCTATAGATATCTGAGGGGAGATATTCAAGGGAAAATAAGAAGAAAGGGCAAAGGCCTCGGAGGCTGGAGGAAATTGGCAGGTTCCAAATTAGCAAGGACACCAGCGTGGCTGAAACCGAATGCGTGAGCGACAGGGTTAACAGATAACCTCTGCGCTGGACAAAAATACTCACGCAAAAAAGGCAGGGAAGGCAAGCAATTATGAAAATCTCATCTTTGCCAGTACTTCACTTACCAAAAAGCTGGGTAAGGTTTCCTAGATTAAGTTATAATGTAAAAATCTGCAAGTGAGGGCCAGGCTAGAATGAAGCAGCCCCAGTTCTCAATGACTGTTCGCAGGCGGGTGAAGGAGAACCCACCAATGGACCCCAGAGGAGATGGCTGTCTGTCTGGCCTGGGGCCAACAGAAAGGCCCACTCTGAGCCGATGTCACAGGGGCCTGTCCAGAGTGGTGGCACCAGAAGAAAGAAGGAGGGCCTGTTCTTGACAAGGGCATCGTCATTTACAACTAACAGCGGCAGCTTTGGAAAAACTACAGCAACAAAAACAGACAAAAAGACATAAAAGCGGGAAAACACCCAGTTCTAGTCACCAAAATAACGATTTCATAATTAAAAAGCATCACAAACAGTTTCCAAACTATAAGTTTGGGGTCCATACATTCTAACTGCTTCTGATGCTAGGACCCCACTTAACTTCCACTGGTGGAGTCACAGGGTCTCAACCTTTACAGTAACGCTACGAACTGACGCTCTGTCACTCTAAGTGTTCTGCTTTCAGCTCTGTCCTGCCAACTGCCTTCTTCTTATGATCCCTTCTCGGGGACCTGAGAAAATACCTTTATCTTACTTTATTCCTTTCCCACTCACTTCCCTGAGAACAAGAGCAGGTCTGATAATTATAGAGAAGGCTTTATTTTTGGAAGACATTTCAATTTGAATGGATCAACCCAATATAGAATGAAAAATGTCAAATCATAAGCCCATGCATGACTTAATCTTTACTTTAAATATATAAATGCTGAGAGGAGTTTAAGGAAGAAATTCTGTAAGATGGGCAATTTTAATCTCACTGAAGATTAACCACCTCAGAGAATTAATATTTTATCAAGATATCCAAACTGCAAAGCAGTATTGACTTTAAAGTCAATTTTCATCACAAATTATTCCTTTAAGTTCTGGGAGTTTAGGGATCCTGTTAGTAATAGAGTATAATTTAAAATTCTAAATATCTACGATCTCTAAATATAAAGATCTCTAAATATTATATCTACGCTCTCGATAATCACTTGCTTTCAATATTAACAAAATGATGTCACACTAAGCTAGCTCAGAATTGCCCTCGGTGGCCAAGAGAACTAGATTCCTCTTGCTGTGCACCTGCTGGCGCAGCACTGGCGTGCCAATGTTAACGCGGAAGTTTATAATGAGACTGCTGATGCTCAGGTGAGAGCATCCTGGTTCCCCTATGTTAATATTCCTCCTTATATTATAAGCTGATCTGTAACGCTGCACTATAGTTACAGTAGATGAAACACTGAAAGAGTAGTTTGGTTTCACATGGAAACAGTTACCAAGACAAACCTTGGAGGATGGAGTTCCAAGAATATTAAATCATAAGAAATTGTTTCAGCAGCTGGTTAAAGCTGAGTGTACATAACACAAGACATCTGGTTGTCTGTGCATTTTCAGTTCATTTAAAAAGTATAAACACATTAAAACACTGAAATGTTTGATATATTACAACACTGTCTGCTTGCTCCCCAAGAGTGTTTAAGTGGCTGGTCTAGTCATTGTATTCATGGCCTATTTACTAGCTAAAGGGATTTACCATTTCCATCCCCCTTAACTTCAAGATATATTATCAACAAAGGAAAAAAAAAGTATTCATTTAGAAGATATTACTGGTATTTGTAAGGACATAATGTAATAGAGGTAGTGCTATTTCTAAAATTAAATCAGGAACACATGAAGCATCACACATACTATGACAAGTAAACAGCAGACAACGTGTTCTCCCTCCCACAATGTGACCATATGTAACAGAAATATAACTACAGGGGCTTAACCAAAATAAGGGTTTATTTGTTTCATTCAAGAAGAAATCCAAAGATCAGTGATCTAGGGGTGGTGTAATAGTTCCGTAATGTCACCAATATCCCATGCTCCCGGACACTGTTCTTTGCGTGCTGCCGTCATCATCAAACTTTTAAGACACCTAAATGCTGCCTCCACATTCCAGGAAGGAAGAGAAGAAGGACAAAGAGCAAAAAGTTGGAGGGAAGTGCTCTACAAGCTTACATCTCCCGCTTACATAAAATTGGCCCAAACTCACAGAGTCACATTTCAGGCACATTCAATTCCCAACTTGCCTAATAACCAAGCTGGGCATACACTGTCCCGCCGAACAGTACTGGAGATCTGTTAGAAAGGAGGCTGAGAAAAGGACATAGACATGCTAACAGCTGTGTCCGTCACAAGAGCTCGTCATGCATGGGCCCTGCCTTCCAAGCTGTACAAACTCCAAACCACAACAGGGTTTGGCGAATCCCATTTCTAAATCTACATTACAATTCTGGATGCGGCACTTATGCACAACAGAGGCCAGGAGCCCATTTTCCACAAATACCTGTCTTTCCAACGATATCCCCATGTAGATTAGATTCTATGCTGATAAATCTTAAAATCTACTTCCTTATTTAAAAAATAATTTCTTTAAAATATGCATTCTCAACAGAAACGATATGACCCCTTCCCGCCCCCTCCCCCCAAGAGAATAAAAATTAGTTTTTTGAGGTGAAAAAGTCACAGATATTATAGTGATTCATGGTGCTCCAAGGGGGGAGGGGCAATTAAGAAAAAGTCTAAAAGGGTTCCTCAAAGAAGCAATTTTTAAAAAGGTTGACAGTAACTGCTTTAAAAATAACAAACATTCTGAATCATGCTGGAATGGCATTCGGTTGCAGTGACAGAAATCCATTACCATGAACAATTAAGGGTCTATTTTTCTCACATGAGAAGTCCAGAGGTGAAAGGGGTTGGATGGACTAGCAGTTGATGACTTTGGTTTAGCAGCTAAATGGCATCAAAGCAGACTTTTCGGTGATTCTCTTGGCTCATGGTGCCAAGATGGCCACATAATTCAAAGGACCACGTTCACATTGCAGACAGCAGGAAAGAGGGCTGTCAAGAACAGAAAGATAGGACTCCTGGTGGAGCCATGTCCCCTGAAAGAGCTTTACTCATACTTTCATGGAGAACTTCCCCCTATATCTCAATGACCACATCTACCTTCAAGAAAAGATACACATGAAAATCCCAAACTGGCCGTTAATAAAAGCAGGACATAAGAAAGAAGGGGAGAACAAATAATGGATGAACAACTAGCTGCACCTACCACATACGAATTTGTTTCAGACAAATTCTTAAACTCTTGTTAACAGAGATTGTTAAGTTCATTTATTACAGAGATTAATGTAATTCTGTGCTTACCATATGCTTAATATTGTTAACAACTTAAAATTGTTTTGATGATGGATAGTCAGAGTTTAAATATTACCAGGCAAGAGAGATGAAAGAAGTCCATGAATGTACTATCCTTAAAAGGCATACAGGAAAGTTCTACACTAGGACTCACAACCCCTTCATCGTCACCCACTACCATCTTCCCTACACAAACAAGACAGAACAAACTTTGATGTAGCCAGAACTTACATGAGTGGAATATCAGTGATTAACTGCATCAAACAGCAGACTAATTCTTCCAAAAGATCTTCTGAGTCAGAACCTGGTAAGATACACAAAAAAAGTTTGTTAACAAAATATAAAATAGATTGGAATTATTTAAAGTTCAGTTTTCATTCCTAATGAGAATAAGACTAATTATTACATACACTCAGACATTAACGCTGATCGTTGAGTAAAACCCAAATCATAAGTTAGCATCAATTATGATTTCCATCTATAGAGGAATTTTGAACACTATCAATTACACAGTTTTTAACATTTGAAGGTAACTATCACTCCTGTAGGCCAGTAGCCAAATATATAAAACACATGAAAAAGCAAGCTGCTCTAGCTGGGGCTTTGTTTGAATCAGGAGTAGTTTCAAACCCCTCAGCCCCCTAAACATCGGGCCTTGCCCTTGATCTTCTTGAACCTTTTCTGAACCTGTGGGGACTCCACAGATGACATTCGGAAACCAAGTAAAAGGCCAGAAACCTGCCTCTTCACAGACAGCCAAAGGTAAAAGGGATTTCCAAGTCCTATGAACAAGTGGCAAAGGCAGGTTACAAATTACCCTCCCAGTGGAAATGCTCCTCTCTCCCATTCTGCTCTGAGTGACTTCTGGCTTTGGACAATACTCAGACACCTACTCTTTCCTCCCCAACTCCTAGGGCACCCTATTACTAACCTACCTCTCACTCTATTCATTCCCAGTATCCACGTCCTCAGATTGCCCTTCAACTACTGGTCCGCTGCCCAGAGTGCCACCATTGGCTTCCTTTTCCTCATCTCGCTCCCTATGATCTCCTTTATCAGTCATCACTTGTATGCTGGCGACTCCTACAGTTTTCCTCTTGTCTCTCCACTGAACGTCATCTTTATATCCAATTGTCTGCGGGCCATCTCCACCAGTACCCTAGCTCAATAAGTTCAAAACTGAACTCATTTGTCCCAACACCTCACATCCATGTACCTGTTCTTTATTCTCCTTTTCGGTGACTACTTCAGTTAACCCAAACCAAAACACAGGCTATTCTCTCTGTTATTCATCTCAAGGTCCTATAAATTATAGTCACCTCTCTGTTATTTACTCTTTTCTTCATTTCCTGCCATGCCTTTGTTCATTATTGCATACTCTCAGTTCAGTTAAACAAGTTTATTAAATTAAAACTCCTAATCTTCTTTAAACCTTCCTACTAGTATTCCTATAAATTTACTCCTCTCCACAATCCAAACTTCAGATTATCATAGAGACCTAACTACAGTCCATCCTTTCATTCTCCTGCCTTAGACCTTTATAATTGCTTTAAGCTGATTATGCATCAGAAAGAACTCCAAGCTCCAAAGTACAGCATGCCAAACCCTTTGAGATACAGGCCCTGCATCCCTTTCTACATTTATCTTTCACCATTATTCCTTTCACAATTTATATTCCAGCAATATCAAACTACCTACTACATGCCACTTTATGCCTCCTCAATAACATTCTGCCTGAAATACCCTCCAACAATAAAAATATAATTTTTTAAAAAAGAGCTAATCTTTATCATTCCTGAACCATCCTAAATCTTCATTTCCTCCATAAAACACAACTCTTTTTCCTCCCCTTGAACAAAAATAAAAATCTAGGCTGCATCTATGCCTTGTTCATATGTCTTTCACTGCATAATTTGGTTACGTTGTATCATAATTCTTCTCTACATGTAAGCAGGCTTCTATTGGTCTCTGTATTTCTCAAGGATAATGACTAAGAGCTTGGCATGTGATGTATACTCAATACATGTTTGCTCAACTGAACCCAGCTGTCTAAGTATAAATCTAATGGTTATTTCCAAAGGCATCAAAGCACTTGGAGTCTCGAAAAAATTTAGCAATTCTTTTTTTCTAGACCACAATCACCTTAGTAGTCAGGAATTATAAAGAAACCCCTTCCTGCCTTGCCATAAATAGAACTGGCTCAGTAACCCTCTGAGAGGTGAGTGCCAAGCTTGAAGAGAACATTAAGTCACAATGAACACACCAATCAAGGCTAAGAAGAATACACAGCAAGAATCAAGTTCAATAACCACATTAAATCTCACTCTAAAAGAGGTAGGCTTATTAGCTCAACGAGTGAAGGAAGTAAAACAAGGAAATAAGTAACATTTGTCTCTGAGGTTACACAATAAGTGGATCTAGCTGAAATCCTCCTCATTGTCAAAGCTGTCCAACATAACCCACATGAATTAACAACCTATTCCAACAAGCTCATTTGCTGTCATATAATACATATTCAATATGTGTTTGTTAAACCATCATTCCCTGACTCATCCTGCAGAATGTATTGACCCAGACCCAAGAAGAACATCTAAAATCTTCACTGATTCCTTACAGAACATTTCAGACCAAATGAATTGGACAGTTTAATAACATACCTTTATTTAACCAAGCAGCCAGCAGTGTTTTAATTACAGAAACAAGCACTCAGGACCCACAGATGGTGCCTGATGGTTCTATTTTCCTTCCAGGGGTGTAAACCCAGATTTTTAAATCTTAACATGGTGACAAGAATGCTCTATCCAGTTCTATGTGCCATCCAAATAATGATCTTGGTCAAGTTTGCTGGGTCAATTAAGGAATATATTCACAGCTTTGTTATCAATTTGTCATAATAATAAAAAAAAAATTTCATACACGTAAAATGTAACATATCAAGGCCAAAGCTCTAACAAAACAAAAGACACGAATAAAGAATTTCCAGCTGAAATCTGACAACTTCCATTTACTTTAAGAAGAAAGTCCTGCAGAATACTATATGCTTGTTTTTGAGCTAATCTAGAAGCAAATAATTGCATATCAAGTGAAGAGTGATGAGATTTGACTGCTTACCAGGTGTGACATCAAGCAAAAGTCACTCATACTGCATTATTTTCCAAACAGTATTTCTATCATTCAGCTTTCATATGAGGGTAAATATCTTTTTAGTTCCAATAAAAATAAGTAAACATAATGTCACCTGCCAGAAATTATAGTAACTCACTCATGCATTTCAAGAAAGATGATCTTAAAAGTCCTTGAAGTTTAAATGACCCAGTAAACTGAGGTTCTTTGAACAAAAGACTGCAGAGATTCAGTATGTTTATTGTACTGTGAAGTTTACAACCCAGTTTTATCTCTTTAAGAGTTTTAAATTGCCTCTACAGCTGCAGTCAAGTGTTTTAGTAGTTTAACTCTTAGCTTCTGGATAAAATATTAAAATAAAATTAAATTAATTTACTAATTAATAAAATAGCTATTATTTGAGAACTCTACCCTTGAAGAGGCACTGTGTTACTTCATTCTCTTTATCCCACATTAATCCTGATAATAACTATTAAGGTGTAGGTATGATTATCATCCTTTTACAAATGAAGAAGCAAGGCCCAGAGATATTAGTTTACTTAAAGTAAGGGACAGAGCCCAGATTTGAACCCAAATCCAGACTCCCAAAAAAAGGAGAAGAAAAAAAACACACCTAATAAATTATTTTTTTCTATTTTTCTATTTTTTATCTTTATTGTTGAGAGTATTACAGATGTCTCCCTGTCCCCCGCCTAATTGTCCTGCTCCACCCAGTGCCTGCCTTGCCCCTATTCTGCACCCTATTGTCCGTGTCCAAGGGCAATGAATATATGCATATACATTCTTTGATTAATCTCTTCCCATCCCCTTTCCCTTGAGATTCACCAGTCTGTTCCATGTTTCCATTATTTTTAAAGACCTGCTATTAAACCAAGTTGGTGGGGGGGAGGAATCCAGTCAACCATCCCATGTTTCACTGAAGACCCTAAATATAAACCCCATGGTAAGTGAGTACTATGAACCACACTAGGGAAGAAATCTGAAATACAACATATTAGTTTTACACATCCAGGTGATACATTATACATTTACCAATGCATACTGGAAGTCTTTGATTTAAATATCCAAAGTAACTTCAAACAATGAGTAAATGTAAACTATTATTGTCAGTATTATGCAGAACTGAAGTCTCACCCCTATCTCTCACTCTGAAGCCCTAATCCTACATCTCTGATCTCTATGAGCATCACCAGAGGAAGAAGCAAGAAAGACAAGATGGTATCTGTGGTCCCAACTGCTCCAATAATCCATACTTGAAACTATGCTTCAGTTCCTATTCTTCCTGTTCGGCACCCTCCGCTACCAAATGCTAAGATACCACACTCTCATTTTGGTCTTAGGGAGTGGACCAGAGCACAGTAGAATAATGTCATAATCCAATGTCTTCCATCAGAGTGGGAGGGGAGAGAGGGCAAAATGATTTTTAAAAACCACTCACTTGGCCGAGACCGGTTTGGCTCAATGGATAGAGCGTTGGCTTGGGGACTGAAAGGTCCCGGGTTCGATTCCGGTCAAGGGCATGTACCTTGGTTGCGGGCATATCCCCAGTAGGGGGTGTGCAAGAGGCAGCTGGTCGATGACTCTCTCTCTCATCGATGTTTCTAGCTCTCTATCTCTCTCCCTTCCTCTCTGCACAAAATAATAAAATATATTTAAAGAAAAAAAAAACAAAAACAAAAAAAACACCACTCACTTGAGAAGAGAAAAAACAGTGCTGATGGAAAACAAAGAAGTGGTCAGAAAAAAAGGAACACATGGGCCATTTAAATCAGGTTACATGTAATTATTAAAAAATATAGTTACAGATAGAGAGTTAATTTTGTGGTTTTCTTTACGTTAGTAAAGTTAAGCTGTTATTTCTCAATGCTGCTCAATACCACACTGTGCCAAATACAAGCACTAAAAAACTCAAGAAATAACAGAGCTATAATCCAATAACAGGTGAATAGTGTTCCTAAAAAATTTAGAGCAAAAATGGAAGACACATGGGTAGATTATATTTACTATAAATATATTTAGAAAACCATTGTGAAGCTAATATTGGAATTACTATTCTATATTAAAAATCATATTTAAACTTCTAATTAGCAAATTCAAATATGCCTGTAAATATTCATCATAACTTAATGAAAAGCAAATAGACTTCCTCTTTTCAAAAAATAACATTGTCTGCTTTGAACACACTTGGTACTTCCAACTCCTAAGCTTTTCCGGGTTCTGAGGCAAGAACTAGCTTTTTCTAGAATTCTCCAACCCCGAAGGCATTTAGCTGTCAGTTTTCTCTGATCAGTTAGTTGGGTTCACCATTACTCAATTTTCCAACTTGCAAAATGTTGTTAACATTGTACCCCCTTTCCTCCTCTTAAACTGAGGAATGAGTACATGACTTTTTATAAGTCCCTTACTGACTTTATTGGGGTTTCAGGAGAAAGCAAAAATAAACAGGTATGTTGAATTCACTACGCTTGAGAGCAAGCCTCACAAAATAATTTCTTGAAATAAATTTATATGGAACTCTTTTACGCCAAGGAAATGTAGTTAAGCAAGCCTTTTCCTCGGACTGACAAGTCCCTAGCCTCTCTTCTCTCCACAAAGCTGTGCTAACAGGTAACTACGCTCCGCAGGCCCACATGCCCTGCTCTCCCAGCTCTCGGCAAATGACCTGCCTGTCTTCCCCTCAGTATGCTCCCTCAATGCAAACCTGTGCTCTCCCTGAGCTGCTGATCCCAGTGGTCTCCTCTTTGGACCATCCTCACACCTTATCTCCTCCCACCCACCCCCCTTTTTTGCTTCTATCTTCAGTCTCTCAATTGAGAATAGTTGTTTATTCTTAACTTTGCTCAATTGTTTGCAGATGGTTCTCTACTTCTGTCATTTCACCCTTCAAACTACCTGTACTACTGTATATTATGTATCCCTAAACAGTCCTTCTCACACACCTAATTCAGATATTCGCTGATAAATGAATGTTTTCAGCTACTGCATAGTAAGGTTCCATTTTTTTTTTCCATTTCAACAATATCTGTTCATTATACTTTCATAAACTGTAAAAAGACATTGGCAAAAAATATAAAAAAGACTTTACTATGTGATAAGAAGTCTCAAACTAGCTGAAGCCGGTTTGGCTCAGTGGTAGAGCATCGGTCTGCAGACTGAAGGGTCCCAGGTTCGATTCCGGTCAAGGGTATGTACATTGGTTGCGGGCACATCCCAGGTAGGGGGTGTGCAAGAGGCAGCTGGTCGATGTTTCTCTCTCATCGACATTTCTAGCTCTCTATCTCTCCCCCTTCCTCTCTGTAAAAAATCAATAAAATATATATTTTTTTTAAAAAAAGAAGTCTCAAACTAACAACATGCAGGCTAAGATGAAAATAATTACATATGTCAAAAACAGCTAGTCTTCAACCTTAAAAAGATATTTACAGTTGAGTTTCCTGTTGGTCCACCAGTTAAGGAAACTCAACTGTAAATAAAAAGAACAAAATGAAAAGAACATGTATAAAAGTCTGAATTACTAACTGTATAAAAGAGGACAGTCTGTCAGCACAGACAGAATCACCAATTATCAGACCTCACAGACGGCCCTTTCAATGACACAACCATCCTGACAATGTGGCCATGGCTGGAAAAGTGTCATTTTCACACAGATTCTACCTTAGGCCACCCAGAATGTGGCCTAAGGTATACACATGCTTCTCCAACTTGAAGATGAGCAGGGAGTGAAAGTACAGAGAGGTTACCTCAGGAAGATATTTGGCCCCAAAACAAACACAATGTCTCTCTCAAGTGCATCAATTTACTTAATGTTCCATAATGAAAAATACTTTTATATGTGAACTAGAGGCCTGGTGCATGAATTTGTGCATGGGTGGGGGTCCCTTGGCCTGGCTGATGATTGGAGCCAATCGAGGCTGTCTCACCCAGCCCTGATTAGAGCTGGCCAGCCAGGGAAAGGGACTGCAGGAGGTTAGCCAGCTGGGGAAGGTTGACTGTGGAAGCACACTGACCACCAGGGAGCAGATCCTGCATTGAGCATCTGCCCCCTGGTGGTCAGTGCGCATCATAGCGACCAGTCCAACAGTTGTTCAGTCAACCAGTTGTAACTGTCACATAGGCTTTTATATATATAGACTAGAGGCTCAGTGTACAAAATTCACGCACAGGTAGGGTCCCTAGGCCTGGTCAGTGATCAAGGCTGATCTGTGGGGCAACTGGCAGGGTGATGGGGGAGAGGGGCCCTCTGGGACCTGTCTTGGCTGGCCTGGTGCCACGAACTTGCTGGCCCTGCCCTCTGCCACCTTGGGTTAGGGACTGTGGGCTGGGGACAGCTTCTGCATTGAACATCTCCCCACTGGTGGTCAGTGTGCATCATAGCAACTGGTCGTTCCACTGTTCAGTCAATTTGCAAATTAGGCTTTTATTATATAGGATAACTGATAATGTGATTAAATAAAAGTATTAAAATTTACACAATTTTATGACATAATACAAAGTGTTAAGGTTACAGTGCTGGTTGGGCTATCCTCTTAGGCTCTCTGGGGATAAACATTCACTCCATTCTTACTGCTAACACTTCCTGCAAAGATTTACAACTCCCTAAGTGAACTTTGGTTTGGCACTGTTGGTCCCACAAAAGACAAAGCCTAGCATTAACAAAACTGACAAAATTAGCAAGACATAATTCGATTAAAAGCTCTAATTTGTTAATAAAAATTAGATAATAAAAGCCTAATATGCAAATTATCCTATATAATAAAAGCTTAATATGCAAATTGTCCCCTCAAGCAGTAGTTCAACCAGGAGACCAGGAGTTTGACCATTCACTATGACGTGTGCTGACCACCAGGGCGTGGCATGCAACATGGTGGGCATTGGTGACATGGCACTGGCAGCAGTGGAGGCATTGCTGGCCCCAATGGGCCCCGACAAGAACGGGACAGTGGCAGGATGATGGAGCAGGTGAGTGGGCAGTGCTAGGCCAAGGCAGGATGCCAGGCAGGGCTACGGGGCTGTGAGAGGTTGGAGGCGCAAGCTGAGGCCCAACCTCCGCAGGCTACCCCAAGGGACCCCACCCTTGCAGGAACTCATGCACCAGGCCTCTAGTAATGTACAGTTAACAAACTTGGAAGGCTGATTATCAAACCAGGAAATTAAACATATTTGTGTCTTAAAACTCAAATCAATGTAAAAGCTCTAAGTAATAAGCAAGAACACCTAATGCAAGCAACGATGTGCTTTGAAAAATAAACCCAAGAAATGCAAGACCATCACTGCTGTTGGCCTTAGAAAGAGAAGAGATAGCATGAAGGTTAGATGCAAAACACTGCGTTCCCCAAATTTCATTTGTTAACAATCCCATTCTTCCCTTTTACTTTCCAGGTTGTTACTTTTAATACTAAGGAATGAAATGTGAGCAACTGATCTTAAAAACTACAAGCAAAAAAAAGAAAACTGTCAGCAATATCAAAAGAAAACAATAACCTTTTCCTGTATTTTCAGAAAAAGATGACATACATCAGCATCATAAAGCTATCCTTGAAAATGTTATTTCTGATCAAATAATCCCAAAGACATCCAGACTCAGAGACTATTGTTATATCTATGAAAGTAACCTTTAATACTTACAAAAATCATCTGATTGGTTGTCTCATTTAATAATGCATTGCCCTAGTAATGGTACTTAAACTGACATCTGTTTTCTGAAAGAAATACCTATGATTTTTATTTTTATGTTTCATATGCATGAAATAAAAATAAAAGTTTCAATTTTACTGGCTGCCTTATTCTAAAAAAAAAAAAAAAGGATAAAAACAATGAGAGTCTTGGTTCTTTTAAATTAATACGGGGGGGTAGGTGGGGGGAAAAGAGTGACAGTGTCAGGTTATTTAAAAATGAAAATTATGAGAGGGCAGAAACAGGTTTGGCTAATGGATAGAACATCGGCTTGTGGACTGAAGGGTCCCGGGTTCGATTCCGGTGAAGGGCATGTATCTTGGTTGCGGGCATATCCCCAGTAGGGGGTGTGCAAGAGGCAGCTGATCAATGATTCTCTCTCATCGATGTTTCTAACTCTGTATCTCTCTCCCTTCCTCTCTGTACAAAATCAATAAAATATATATTTTTTAAAAATTATGAGAGGAACAATAGAATTTTCAAAATTTTAATTTTATTCCTCAAATTTTGTGCTTACATGTTGTTACACATGTGATTCCCAGAACATCTTCAAAGGCAATACTTACTGTAACTGCCAGATTTTTCTTCATAAGTAAAATGAAGTTGTAATTCCTCTTCTGACATCTCACAGATAAACACTTTCAACAAATAGCAAATAATAAACAAAGCATTGTTTGTCTGCCAAATGAAGATGTGACTAAAAAAGAAAAATCAAGGTCACATAAGAATCAATATTTAATCATGAGCACGATCAGTTTATTTCTAGTCAATGATTTCTTCATGATTGATCAATCATTTTGCCTGTTGTATTTGTAATATTAGAATAATGTCCATATCTTTTAGTGGCTCATGATTTACGACACTGAACCAGTGAAATCTATTACAGTTTACTTCATATTTCATTCTATGTATTTTATATAGCAAGTCAACATAATAAAAATATTATCCTTTAGGCATGATTGCTCTTTGTTCTTAACTTTACAGCTGTCCCACACACAGGCAATGCAAAGAAAAGAAAGCTAAAATAATTAAAAATACATAGTACCATAAGGAGACTATATGCAAATACACAACAAAATTTTTAAATGGAGTATCACCAGAAGCACAGTACAATATTTGCTTTTTATATTAATAACCGTGAACTCACAAGAAAAACTTTTGTTGGATTCAATATAATTTGCTTGGGAGCTGGACAATGAATAATCTCTTAAGAGCTAACCAGAAAAAATAATGGTGTTAAAAAATGCTTGAGCACATTAAAGGTTAGCTTTCCACTGCATCTAATATAGAACTATAATACCTAATCTGAATCTTCTTTCATCTAATGCAAGAAACTAAGGGAACAGATGTGGAATGAAATAATACTCAAATTAAGTCAAATGTCCAGCAGTAATAATGAGGAATAATGACCTTTTTAGTAATAATTACATCAAATTAATCTACTTACATAATATATTTCTAGAGATTATCTAAAATGCTGAAAGCAGATTCCAGAATTCATCATCTCCCCCCCAGTGACTTGGACAGCAAATTAAAACCTCTCTTGTACTTTTCCCCCTTAATAATAAATATAATTCCTTGAACAGCGTTTAAAAGATCATAATCAATTTCTAATAGATGAAAATACTCCTTGTTAAATATGAAAAGAACATGATTAACCAGGCAGCTTACTTCCGACATTCTGCTGAAAGTTTTAGTTCTTTGGTTCTAGAAAGGAAGACCTTAATCAATGCACCAAGGTTTCCTGTTCGAGGATTGTTTTCAACTGCAAGAGAAAGAAAGATTTTAAAAAGTTAAAATTAAAAACCAAAAGCAAAGTGAGTGTATCATAACACTTATAAAATCAAATATCAAACTGAAGTTGCTCATGGACCAGCCTATTGTTAATAAGCAATAAGAGAAATTGCTACTTGGCTGGAATTATTTCTGAACAAAAAAACTATGTACAAAATGGAAGTGCTAGAAACATCAGGAGAAAATAGCCATCTTATCTGAGAATCCAAAACTGTAAAGATAACATGTAACAGTTAATATACAAACACAATTTACATATACACATCATTCTCTTTAGAAAAACAGATGCTTAAAAAGCTCAAAAATTGATCATTCATATCCCCAGTATATATAATACTAGAGGCCCAGTGCCTGAATTCTGTGCATGGGGGGGTTCCCTCTGACTAGCCTTCCCCCTCTCCAATCGGGGACCCCTTGAGGGATATCTGAAACCGGCAGTCAGACATCCCTCTCACAATCCGGGACCACTGCTCATCTGCCTGCCTGCCTGATCACCCCTAACCACCTCTGCCTGCCAGCCTGATCACCCCTAATTGCCCCCCCCCCCCCCCGCAGTCTGGTCGCTCATTACTGCCCCCTTCTGCTGGCTCGCCCCCAACTACCCCCCCTCCCCCACCGGCCTGGTCGCCCCATGCAACCTGCTGTTCAGTCATTACTGTGATGGTGTCCTGGACAATTTGCATATTCCTCTATTATTAGTATAGATAATAACCCATAAAGATAAAACTATTCAGATAATCACAAATTATTCTAATGAAAATGAAGACACATAATGTGGCCAGTGTGGCACTATCTGACTAGGTAAAATTTTAAAGAATTTGTTTTAAAAATTTTTTTCAAGTTTAAAAGGTATTTCAACAAAGCCAGCTTAGAGTTGAGAAGACTGTATTGGAAATGGAAAGATCTGGCTTCTAGATCCAAGTCTATTATATAATAAGGGAATATTGAAACTCAGGTAAATTATTTACTTCTCCACCTCAGTTTTCTCATCTGGAAAAGAAACAACAGCTAATATCGAATATATACTGAACAATACACTTAATGCTTTCCATGCACTACCTAATATAATCCTCAAAATGACATATGGCGTAAGCAGGAATATGACCTCAATTTTACAGAGCCTCCCCTGTACGTTCTTGCTTGTTCAAGGACATGTTGTTATTTACTGGCTCAAATCCTTGGCCCTGCACTATGCCAAACCGGCCCGTGTAATCAAGGAATTGGGCCCAATGAAACTCTAAAGTTCTATCAGGCTGCAGAGCAAGACATAGGCTATGATTAATTTTGTGTGTCAACTTGACTGGGCCACCGGATACCCAGGTATCCAGTTAACATTATTCTCCGTGAGTTGGGGAGAGGGCCTCCTCATTGAATCAGTAGACTGAGTAAAGCAGCTTGCCGTCACCATGGAGGGCCCACAGAGTAAAATCAGAGGAAGACTGAATTCTATCAGCCTGACGGTTGAGCTGAAACATCAGTCTTCTTCCGCCCTTAGATGGGACTCGCAACATTGGCTCTCCTAGTTCTCAGGCCTTTGGACGTGGACTGGAATTTATACCATTAACTTTCCTGGGTCCTCAAGCATGTACACCAGATCACAGGATTGTTCAGCCTTCAGAGTCATGTGAGCCAATTTCTTATAATAAATCTCATTTTATATATGCCAGGTGTCTCAAAAAAAAAAAATCCTATATAATAAAAGGATAATATACCAATGGTAGAATCACCTGTTGCTATGACACGCAATGACCACCAGGGGGCAGACATCCAACACAGGAGCTGCTCCCAGGTGGTCAGTGTGCTCCCACTGGGGGAGGGCCACTCAGCCACAAGCCAGGCTTACGGCTGGTGATCACAGCAGTGGTCGTGGGAGCCTTCCTGCCTCCACAGCAGTGCTAAGGATATCCGACTGCAGTTTAGGCCTAAGCCGTAGGTCAGACATCCCCCAAGCGTTCCTGAACTGCTAAAGGGCATAGGCTGGGCTGAGGGGCCCTCCCTGCTAGAGCACAAATGCCATGCACCGGGCCTCTAGTGTATACATATTTCAGCTGACAGCTCAATTTTGAAAATGAAATGTATTTTAATAAACACTGCTTTTATAATTATTCAAAGTGTGTACGTACATTTTTAAGGGACACCATATATATATATATATATATATATATATATATATATATATATATATATATATATCCATTCTATGGATTCTGTTTCCCTGGAAAACCCTGATTAATAGAGCATGGAAGCACAGAAAAATTCACCTTAGCCCAGCCTTCGTGGCTTAGTGGTTGAGCGTCGACCAGGAAGCCGTGGTTCAATTCTCAGTCAGGGCACATGCCTGGGTTGTGGGCTCGATCCCCAGTGTGGGGCACGCAGGAGGCAGCCAATCAATGATTCTTTCTCATCATCGATGTTTCTCTCTCTCTCTCCCTCTCCCTTCCTTTCTGAAATCAATGAAAATATATTTTTTTAAAGAATTAATCCTAAGGGAGAGACTATTTTTAGTCAGAACCTTTACTTTTACTGATGGAAGAAAAAGAAATTCAGAAAGGCTATATGTTGGGCCCAAAGTCAACAACATGTTAGTGACAAATGCCCAGTCTTTTCACTTTATCAATGGTTTTCAAACTGTGAGATTCCAGAGTTCTGGGGTATTTTTTCACTTTTGAAATACATTTTTAACTATTTTGAAAACAAGAAATGCAAATACATCCATTGGCTTGTGCTGCCAGAAGAATTCATTTTCATGCAGATCTGAGAATTATGCTTTTGCTGCCATTTCTATGCATAATATCTAAACTTCTGTGTCAAAGATATAAAAATATGTCGTTCTCCAGGATTTTTTATCCAGGTCTGCATATACATACTTTAAAAATGTATTAATACATGGATATAAGCACACCATTATAGCGTATCTGCTCTGTGCCCATAACTGGCAAGTTAACTTGGTCTATCTCCCAGATATGTGTTCCTGCCACGGCCTGAGAGTCAATGCATGTAACTGTATAACTTTCTCATTATGACAGAAGTTGTAGTAGCTTCCTGTTACACATGTCACTCATGAACTAGTGGCAACAGCATTGTCTGAGAGCTGTTGGAAATGCAGAATCTCAGGTCCACCCTACACCTAATGAAGTTGATGTGCTTTTAAAGGTTAATGTATATTTAAATCACATTTAAAGTTTAAATTCTGACTCTGCCCATGTGAAGTGTGATCTGAGACTCTGCATCGCTAACAGCTCCCTGCTGCTGGCTGGAGAACCCCTGCTCTGTGTGCTGTAAATTAGGGCAGGCCTGGCCCAGCTTTCATAATCAAGAATAGGTGGATGACTAGATATTAGATATTAGATATTGTTATAGTTTCTCTATGAAACACAAATTTCCTACATTCAATCTTTGGGCTTAGTTTGATGAAAGAATATCATAAGGTTTCAGGATAAACTGTTTTTCTTTAAAAAAAAAAAAAAAATAACCCAGTTACTGTTTGCAAGTGTGTTTTTATGTAAATTAACATTATCTAGCTATTGTAAACCAAAACAAAATACTGATATAAAGAGTTGAAGCTGATATAATTCAGAATCCCAACTTTACAATCTTGTTTATTCAACAGCCCCTTTATTACTGGATTACTTTATAATTGTTTTAATTTATAAATATCTAGCTATTAAAAAACAAACCTGTCTATTGGAAAGATCAATCAAACTACTAGACAGATGTAATGAAAACTCTGTGTACCTTTTTCAACCATTTGGCATGTATTTATTGAGCTCCTTATATGTATCAGCACTGTTTCAAGTATAAGAAAATACTTATCAACAGAATTCCCTGTATTTTTATTTTATTTTATTGATTTCAAAGAGGAAGGGAAAGAGAAATAGAAACAGCAATGATGAGCCGGGACCGGTTTGGCTCAGTGGATAGAGCGCCGGCCTGCGGACTGAAAGGTCCCAGGTTCGATTCCGGGCAAGGGCATGTACCTTGGTTACGGGCACATCCCCAGTAGGAGATGTGTAAGAGGCAGCTGATTGATGGTTCTCTCTCATCGATGTTTCTAACTCTCTATCTCTCTCTTCCTCTCTGTGAAAAATCAATAAAATATATTTTAAAAAAAGAAAAAAAGAAAAAGAAACAGCAATGATGAGAGAGAATCAATGATTGGTTGCCTCCTGCATGCCCCACACTGAAGACTGAGCCCACAACCAGGGCATGTGCCCTGACCAGGAATCAAACCATGACCTCCATGTGCCCTGACTGGGAATCAAACAGTGACCTTTCTGTGCCCTGACCAGGAATCAAACCGTGACTTCCTGGTTTTTAGGTCAATGCTCAACCACTGAGCCATGCTGGCTGGGCTCTTTGTCATAATAAAGCTGATATTCTAAGATAGTTAAGTTTCGCCGAGACCGGTTTGGTCAATGGATAGAGCGTCGGCTTGAGGACTGAAAGGTCCCGGGTTCGATTCCGGTCCAGGGCATGTACCTTGGCTGCGGGCACATCCCCAGTAGGGGGTGTGCAAGAGGCAGCTGATTGATGACTCTCACATCGATGTTTCTAACTCTCTATCTCTCTCCCTTCCTCTCTGTACAAAATCAATAAAATATATATTAAAAAAAAAAATAGTTAAGTTTCCACAGTACTCTTCTGGGCAAGATGCAAATGGGGCAATTAGTTAATAAAAGTAAGTATACTCAGTGATGTTTCAACAACAGGTATAATATTCCAAAATATCTCAATGGTCTTGAATAGGATCAAACCTAGTTGGTAAAAATCAAATGCTATGTTAAATATGAATGAGCTTCAGGAGCCAGAGTAGGAACAGGGACATCTGACAGGAAGGCAGAAAAGCATAATGGAACTAGACTACAGATTTGACCAGGTTCAAACCCCAGCTTTCCCTGATTAGCTGTGTGACACCTGGCAACTTACTTAACCTCCCCACACCTCATCAGTTTCTTCATTGTGCAACTAGGA